TTGGTCACGCTTCTTCATCATTATTAGTTTGTGGATAGATGGTAGTTTTTCTTGAGTAAGCCAGTGATTTTCACTGTTGGAGCTGGCATGTTTTCACGATGATATTCAAGCCAAAGGGATGTCCTTCTCATGTCCCTCTTGGCGTGTTCTCCAAGTCACCACTGTCACTGTCTTAATCAACCGCAGGTTAAGGCCTGGGGTAGGGCGTGTTCTGTGTGTGTGTGTGTGTGTGCGCGCACGCGCGTGCATAGTGTCTAATGTGTTGTAGACATTTAGAAGTGAATCAGATTCAAACCTTGTCCAGTGGGCAGAGCAGCCGGTTTTCTCTGGGTCCATGTGTAGCGTGCACGCCTGAGAGCCTACTAGCCACAGCTGAAGTTGTTGTTTTGTTTTCTTTTTTAAATTGTACCACTGACCTGGGGTGGCTAGGTGACTCGGTCGGTTGAGCGTTCAACTCTTGGTTTCAGCTCAGGTCATGATCTCACAGCTTGTGAGTTTGAGCCCCACAGCTGGCTCTGCGCTGTCAGGGTGGATTTTCTCTCTCTCCCTCTCTCTCTGCCCCTCCTCTGCCTTCTGTCTCAAAATAAAAAATAAACTTAAAAATTTTAAATAAACTCTACACCTGACCTCATAGAGGTAAGAAGTTAAGATCGAATGCAGGGGCGCCTGGGTGGCGCAGTCGGTTAAGCGTCCGACTTCAGCCAGGTCACGATCTCGCGGTCCAGGAGTTCGAGCCCCGCGTCGGGCTCTGGGCTGATGGCTCAGAGCCTGGAGCCTGTTTCCGATCTGTGTCTCCCTCTCTCTCTGCCCCTCCCCCGTTCATGCTCTGTCTCTCTCTGTCCCAAAAATAAATAAACGTTGAAAAAAAAAAATCGAATGCAGAGTAAAGTGGAAAAAGTAAAGCAAAACCTACGTTCCCCTCCCCAAGGATGGGAGGGCCTCTGATAGAGTTGAGGGAGAGGGTTGGAGCGTTGAGGATTTGTGGGGGAGAAAAATTCCCTCCCTGTCAAGAAGAGCAAGAATTCTGAACAGGGGCAGATCCTTTATTGAGTGTTCCCCTGAGATTTGTGCCTTGGTGGATTCTTCATATATTACAGTGAATTTAATTAAATACATTGGGATCCCAGTTGAGGGTATTCTAATTAGCTGGGTCAGGAACAAATTATTCTCTCTCCTCCAAATGAAAACATCTAGTCTTTTCTGCAGGGGAAGCATGTCCGTGGGTGACGGCTTGCTCTCCTGGAGTCCTCATTGGTCTCTCCAGCGGCGCCCCCCCCCCCCCACTGCTTCTTATTAGGCAGGTTCCTAGGGTAGAATCCTGGGGACACAACCAGTGCCACTTGGGATGGAGAGGGTATCTGGCCAACAGGTCAGGGCATTGACCTGCTCAAGACCTGGGAAATGACCCCATGGTGTGGAGAAGGTCATACAGGGCAGGACCCTGTTGCTAGCTTTGGATCCCTGTTTGCTCCAGGTTGGACAGCTGGAGAAGTACTGAGTGAGAATTTATAAAATCTGGTAAGAACAGGATCTTTGACCTGCAGGTAGACTCTGGTTGTGATCAGAAGTTTGGGTTGTGGGACACCTGGGTAGCTCAATCAGTTAAGCATCCGACTTTGGCTCAGGTCGTGATCTTGAGGTTCATGAGTTTGAGCCTCGCAAAGGGCTCTCTGCTGTCAGCGCAGAGCTTGCTTCAGGCCCTCTGTCCCCCCTCTCTCGGCCCCTCCTCCCCATCAAAAATAAATAAAAATTAAAAATAGTTTTTAAAAAGTTTAGGTTGGGATGTAACCTTCATAAGCAGGTGTTTCCTGGCAACCAATAAACAGTTTATTCTGCAGTTTTTTCAGTGTGTTGGAGAATGAACCCAGACTACAAACGCCGGCTTGGAATTTTGAATTAAGTTTTTGTACAAGCCTCTAAGAGAAGACCCTAAATATTCTCTAGACCAGGATCAAGGGGAGAGGCCATAGACCTGTTTACCTTGTTTCCTCTTATTCTTTTCTCTATCATTTGTAGCGTGTGTCCATTTCCTTTCCAAAATGGCTCCCAAATGGTAGATGGAAGAACTCCTGGTGGCACAAGAGGTTGCCATTTACCCCCAGGAGATTGAGTATAGAGTGTTTTTGGAACATTTTCATCATATTGGTTATTTTTAAAGCAGGAATTCCCAGTGTGATGTTTATGTCAATTCAGGATTTATATAGTTCTATCACCCAAGGGCCTATGGATTTAAGGACAAAAGACATTTGACATCTCAACTCCCATCCAACTCTTTTTGGCCACGTTGTCCTCTCTTCTGGCTCAGAGGTTGGGAACACCAGCCATTTGGAAAAGAGCCTTTATATCCATATTACAATTTTATGTTAAGGATTCAGTGCCTTATTGCAAGGAAATCCTGTCTCACGGGAGGGTAATGGGAATTTTGGGGTAAGGCTTTAATGATTCTTGTTCTGAGTTCATACTATATGATCTTACCAAAATCCCTCGATAAAATTCATTGCTTTGGATTCCATGGTTATTTTCCCTGTTATCTTTTATTTCATCAGTTGTTGTTGAAGCTTTAATAAATGTAATTCTTTTGGCCTTAGTGACCCAAGACAGCAGTACACGTTTCCCCATGCTGGCTCTCCTACAAGTCTCCTGCTCCTTAATCCCAAGCCAGACCCCTTGCTCCCAGAAATATCTTAGTCCAGTTTTTGACTTTTGGGGGGCGGGAGGACTCTCTAGGGAAGTTGGGGACAATGAACGTGGGCAAGCTAATCCTTTTCCCTTTATATCTAGCCCATCAGGCCCTCCTTCTCTCCAGGGTTGTAGCCTCCAAAAAAGATTGCTTTGGTGAATTCCACCCTCCTGAAATCCTCTTCAAGGACCCCGTCTCAGAGGCACATTGAAGATAAACCATTAAAGAGGAAATCAGCTCAAATTTATTTCCAGAAAGTAGCTTTTTATTATAAGTTGTTGTCATTGCCTTAACAGTTAACATCGAGTTCGCCAGTTCTGCCGACTCCTTCTGGTTGTGAAATTGCTGTAGGATGGCTGTTACTAGTGGGGATATTGTTTTGTTCCAAAGCTCTGCACCTGAGTGTGTCAAATCATCCATTTTGGGGGAAAGAAGGGATTGTTCTCTTGGTACCTATGAAGCCCTTCCCATTTTTGCCTATACCTTGGCCTCAGAGCAACAGTTAGGTATGGGGTGGTTTAGCCAATTTACATGATTGAAGGCCTGGGCCTCCCTTTCATCCCCCACAAAGATTTTTCTGCAACGGTCCATTGGCACGTTCATCCTTCCCTCTTCCAATAAAGCTCAAACATGCTTCTGGGATTTTCATAGTTTTCTACAGAACAAAGAATGTGTACGTGTGAGCACCTGAGCCTGGAGTGTGTCATTCAATGGGAAGTGGTGGTAGGGCCGCTTGGGTATTTTTAATGGAGCGCAGGGCATTCTAACTGCTCTGCCTTCTCAGTGTCTCAAGCTATAATCTAGAGAAGAAGGCTGTTGAAGCAGGATGAGCAACAGTTAGCATGGCACTAACTGTTGCGTGTGCACAAGCAGGTCAGAAAGGAGAGGAACAGCACAAAGTGGTTCCGAGACATTTTTTGTGTCTTCCCTGTGTCTTCTTGAGCCAGGCTCTGGGGTCTGGAGATGGGGGTGGGGAGAAGGAGGAAAGGGCAGGTCATAACACAAGCACATAAAACACATTTTCTGAGTTTGCTCCTCCTCGGGGATGCTCGAGGAACATGAGACCCTGGTCCTAGTTCCCTCTCTCCCACTAAGTAGCTGGGTGACCTTGGGTCATTCACTTAAGTTTATTGGAGTTGTTTGCCCTGCTTTATAAAGGGCAGCCAGTAGAAAAATTCCCTCTTCTCCTAAAATGGGATCATTTGAAATGAAGGAGATTATCCTCTCTATACCAGGAGCTTGTTACTTCCTCAGCTGTTAGTGAGAAGGGCCCATACCTTTCACCGTTTTCTCAAAGAGGCACACAGAGTTTGTGAGTTTTGTCCTTGGATAGTCTTCGAGTCTTTTACAGTACACAGAAGTCTGGGGTCTGCTAACTGTTCCCATGACCTCTCCTGTTCTTGCACCTCTCTCTTTAATCCTGTGTGTGTCTGCTTTCTGCCACGTTTTGGGCTTCCTTGTTCTGGAATCAGAACACACAAATACAATCAAGAGTGTAATTTTGCCCATCTGATGCACTAAGCCAAGTGACCTTCAGATGTTGACAGGCAACCAGTCTGGAGAAATTTATTTTTCTGTGTGTGTGTTTTTTTTTTTTTTTTTTTAATCCGAAGGAAAACCTAATTTTAGGTTCTCCTAATAGACTGTGGTTCTAAATATAAAAACTTGACCTGTCATTCTTGTGGAAAAGCCAGACAACAGCTTTGGCTCTGTGTTACTGACCTAGGATTCTATGCAGGGAGTGTAACCATATAGGCTATCACCTAAAGCAGAGGTTGGCTAACTTTTTCTGTAAAGAGCCAGGTAGTAATATTTGAGGCTTTGAGGCCCATGCTGTCTCTGTTGCAACTACTCAACTCTGGTGCTTGGAAAGCAGCCATCGTTAATATGCAGATCCGTGGATGTGGCTGTGTTCTGTTAAAACTTTATTTACAAAATTAGGCAGCAGGTTGGAGTGGGCCCACAGGCCATTGTTTGCAAACCCTGATCTAAATAAAGTGGGGCATTCCGGAGAGTCTGAGGAAGAACCTTTGATTATTGTGCCAGGAAGACCCAGGTCACCTGGGGAGGGTCGGCACTGTCAGCATCAGCAGCCGCGTGGAAAGCCGCCAGGGAAGGGACGTTCGGGGGAGTTGGGGAGGGGAGTCTGCTGGCTGCTGGCCCTCGAAGCACTGCTGGAGAAGAAGGTACGTTGGGGAAGACAGAACAGCCCCTCCCAGGAATCTCCGCCCTGGGCTCCGGCCAGGAACGGGTGGGCTCGTGGCGGTGGTGGCTTCCAGTGGCTTACCCACGACGTGTCCCTCTCCTCTGCCCCTCGCAGCACCTGCAGCAGCACGAGAGCGGAGTGGAGGGTGAAAGTTGCTATTACCACTGTGTCCTGTGCAACTACTCCACCAAGGCCAAGCTGAACCTCATCCAGCACGTGCGCTCCATGAAGCACCAGCGCAGCGAGAGCCTGCGCAAGCTGCAGCGGCTGCAGAAGGGCCTTCCCGAGGAGGACGAGGACCTGGGGCAGATCTTCACCATCCGCAGGTGCCCCTCCACTGATCCGGGTGAGTGGTCTCACGGGCCCGTTGGTGAGTGGTTTCTGGTGGGGGCCCGGTGTGGACCTCCCGAGGGCTTTGGTTTGCCGCTGCTCGTCCTCGTGTCCCATCACCGACCGCACAGGTGACCATCGTATTCTGGAAGGAACATTGTGTGCATTCTTGCCTTTCTTTCTTTTTCTTTTTTTTAACTGAAGGAACTTCACCTCACTTTCTTCAGGTGTCACAGGCCACTGCCCAATGAGCAGGACAACTGGAGATGCTGTGTCTCCTATCCCCAGATTCCTCCAGTGCTTACTCTAGATACACTTTATTGGTCCAGATGGACATAAAGCAAGTGCTAAATTATGGCCTGCTCACTGGTAGGGATAAGAGTTTGTGGCCTCAAGTCCAGTGTGTAAGAATGAACTTCAGAGAGGATCAGAACAGCCTGCGCTTGTTCTAAACATTTTCCCGTTGGGTTTGAGGGTGCCTCTGCGAGTCATGGCCTGGTGCTGCCTGCTTCTCCACAGGGTCGGGGCCTTCAGCGGAACCTCGCCAGCTCCTGGCTCCCACCACAGTCCCCTTTTTCCGTCACTCCCTTCCACTTCTTTGTGGTTCTCTTTCCCACCAGGACCTCACTGGTAGAATCCTCCTTCTGTGTTTTCAGCCCTACCACTCCCTTTCTCTCACTATGGAATCACAGGGCATCAGGGCCTCTTTAAAAACAACAGAACAAGAGCTCTCCCACAATCCTGTGTCCTGCTTCTCTCTCTGCAATAGAATCTTCAAGGTTCTTGAAAGAATAGCCTGTATCTGTCGTCTCCAGCCAGTGCCTCAGCTTACCATAGCCTGTCTCACTGCATCAGCAAACCACCCTTGAGAGGTCACCATTGACCTTGGATTTACCCAACCCTGTAGCTACCTGCTGGGCCTTCTTCTATTCTTTCTGTGGTCTCTGAAAGTATTGCATGGTCCCACGCCGAATCTCCCTTCCTTGAGCTTCCAGGTTGTGTTTCTGTCCTGTCCTCGTGTTTCTCTTGGCCATCCTTCCCAGCCTGGCCCCTGGTTCGTGGTCCTCGGCCTGCCCCACCTTCTGGCGTCATCTGGGAGTTAGGCCCCGTTCCTTGGCTCCCAGTCCTTTAAAGCTTGATTTCTGTGGAGTTTTTAATCTTAATTTTATCTAATTTCACATCTTTATAGTTCTTAAAGGCAATAAGTTATATAAACCTTAAGAAAAATGGCATGACCCTCCCCGTCCCCCATCCCCTTGCCCAGAGCCATGGCCTTCAACTTTTAGTTGTTTGTTTTGTTACATATTTCCATCTTTCTTAATGTGCTTTGATTTCTTTTTTTTTTTTTTTTTATGTTTTAGACATTATCTATTGGCTTTCTAAACGGTGAGACTTTCACGAGCATTCCATTCTACAAACCACACACTTCTACTGACACACACCCATCCACAAACTCACACGTGGACACCTCAGACTCCATACACTCCCCTGCACACCACCCCTGGACCCCCTACATCACACTCCCCAGCCCCCGCTGTATACCCAGTCTTCTCTCCCCTCATCTTCCATGATGATTAAATAATAATTTGGGGTTATATTAATATTCAGTGTTTTCATTATTCTAACTCTATAAATATTAATCACAGCTGAGCCATGTAGAGTTTTATAATTTCATTTACCTTCTTGTACAACTTTTTATTTTCCCTGGTTTGCTAGGTATCTATGATTAATTCATGGCTAGCCCTCTGCCAGAGTAGACATTTCCTGGTCTCTGAAGGCCCTGCCAGATCAGTTCTGTCAGCTTCGTTTCTTCCTGGAGATGTCCCTCCTGAGCCCCTCCAGACCCCTCTGCTCCCTGCCCCTGTCCCTACCCCCTTGCTGCTTTTTTGGTCTCTTTACGTAAATGGAGTGAGCTGCTATACGAAACGGGGAGCGTGTGCCCTCCCTGCTGGAGTAGCTGAGGTTTCATTCTCAAAATGGAGAGGCCAGTTTCTTTCTTCAGGAACCAGGGTCATTTCTTGGGTGCCAGCATAACTTTTGTCACCTCTGGGTCACTGCAAGACTGTTCTTTCCCCTGTGTTTTTCAGATGTCTCTTCTGGTTCAAGTTCAAATGCTGTGATCTCGGGGGCTTCCTCTTGGTGCCCGACCCTGTCCCTCCACCTTTATGCGCTCAGGAATGAGGGGCGAGGCCGACACCCCAGACTCATCTATGCCCGAACACAGCCTGTTGAGCCATCTGCCTGTGGGGGGTCCCCGTTTTCCGCCTTTTGGCCTCTGTTTGATCCTGCCACTTGGCATTATTTTGCTGTGGAGCCATTTTACAGGATTCTCCTGTCCCATCCATAAATGCAGACCTATTTATTTCAGGGTTGTTTTTTTTTCTCCCCCAGCTCTGCATACGTCATTGTTTTAATCTTCTGTTAAAAGCTGGTCCCTTTCGCCCTTCAATTCTTTCTTTCACTCTCCTCAGAATTCCCTTTTTATTAATGAGGTGCCCCAAACTAAATAGTGTACAGCTGCCATTTCACCCGGGGTCTATGGACTGGAACAAACAGTTCCCTGTTTTATAATGTAATACTTCTATTTGTGCAGTCCGCTCTGGAATTGCTTTCTTACCCCATTGCCTTCTGGGTTTCTCTCATTTAATGCGTATTAAGAGTTATTTTTCCCCCTGAAGTGTATGAGCAACTTTAGTCTAGATGATAGACTTCCTTTCTGTATTTCAAAATCCTTTTGTATTGTCTTTGGCCTGGAGTCATGTTTTTTGCTCTCTACCCTCCTCCCTCTCCATCCTGCGCCCTCCTCCCTCACACATTCGGGCTGAGCCCATACTCTTCACTGATGACAAAAGGGCAAATTCTTAGGTAATGTTCACGTTGACAGTAAAAGTAACTTGGTGCCATTTTAGAAACCCCTTTAAGACAACTCCTCTTAAAATATGTCCTCCTTCCCCATAGGGATTGGCTCCTAACTTCTTGAGAGAATATTTTCAAGAAAAGGTGAATTTAAGACACTGAAAGTCATCAACTTCAAATTTATCAACAGAGACTTTATCAAATATTCCCAATCTTCTCTTCTCTCAAGTAGGGGTCAGGACATTAGTGTTCAGCTGGAACCGTCATTCGTGTAGCATAAGGAAGCCATGGGGAGGTCTTCGAGCACCTTTTGGGGACCCCTGCTTGTTCTAACTATAAACTGCATGTAAATGGTGTGCTGTCTAGAGTTTTCTACTCTGGCCTTCTGTCAACAGCTAGTTAAATGGTGGTGTTCTTTCTTCTTTCCTTTCTGCCTCTGTTGTCCACACACTGGAAAGTTGTCCAAAAGAAATAACTTCCTTCTCTGAACTCAGGACCTCCAACCCCAGTCCCCCAACACCTTCTTTCCACAGGTATCTTTGCGTGGTCCTTGCTGCGGCTGGTGGAGAGAACTCTAGAATAGTTTCTTCCCTGTGGTTGACAAAAAAAATCTCTTCAGATTTTCCTTGTTAACTTAAAGCCAGTATGTTTTCCAGTCAAGTTCGCCACGTAGCCTTCCAACCCGCATGAATTTGTAAGTATGGAAAAGGAGACACGGTGAAGCTCTCCTCCGCCCTTCAGAACTTTGTGGTAGCGGCCAGGATTCACACCTGTCACTGATCGCATAAGCCCTTGAGAGCCCTCGTGGCCGAACTTAAAACACCTAGGCCCTGCCCTGCCCCAAAGGGCTAAGTGTCAGCTGCTGGAGGTGTGCTAATAGTACACCACTGCCCCCTGCGTGGTCCTGCTTGTGTGAGGCTTTACCCTTATGCTCGTGGGCAAGCCAGGCCCTGTATCATATTGTCTTTAACCTAGCGTGATAGTTGTGTGCTTATGCTTGCCATGTCACCCCCACACTAGACAGGCAGGCACACACACACACACACACACACACACACACACAATGGGACTTCCCATTTAAAAAATGGCTTGGAAATACACAGCTCAGAGAAAAGGAAGTAATTTAAACAGGTGAAGTTTCCCCTCTGCCTCCCTGCCCAGTTTTTTAGTAATGGGCTTGAGTGCATTTTCTGCAAGACCAAGTGTTCTCTGGACTTTCTTGGGATTTGGTCTTTTCATTTCGTGCCCACAACCAGGTAGAGGTAGAGGTAGAGGTAGAGAAGGCCCGTTGTTAAGTGCTGACACACTGAGTTCTAGCCTTTCGTTATTGGCACTGGCTGTTTACTTCCCCTTAGTTGACTGGAAGCTCATGGAAGATTGAAAGCTCTCATAGGTGGGTCATGTGAAGGACCACTTCCCTGTTTGCTTATTAAAAAGGCATTTCTGGCTCCCGGGTGAAGCTGTAGTTAATTTCACTATATCATTGCCCTGGGCTTCTAGAAGACAAGAGGTCCTTTGTGTTCCTCCTGTCTGCCTGCCTCCTCCTCCTCCTCCTCCTCCTCTTCCTTTTTTCTGTCTTACCCTTGGCTTAACTATTTTCTCTTGCACATAGTCCTAGAGCTTCAGACTTTGCACAGATGTAATTTAACGGTTCTCGATTGCACGCCGACTATGTTCAAGACTTTTTATGAGTTGGGAGACGCCTCTGATGTTTCCCCTCCTCTCTTGATGTGGATACTCTGGTGGATATGCCAGCCCAGGCGTTCGAGGCAACCAGATGATGACTCAGTTTACAGAGGGCACAGCTCTTTGGAGTTTAAGAGAATATTTTGTTTGGAGCGGAAGCTGGCATCCCCCTTCACTGACACGTCTTTGGCGCTCGAGGTCGTGAATTCCTGGGGTCGGGAGGCAGAGGCTTGCCAAGTGATAATGTGGATTTGGTGACAACCTATTCTGAAACACTCACTGGCTTCTCTTGATGGATCATTTTTTCATACCATGTTTCAGGGAGTTTTTGCTTTTAACTTCTGCAGCTTAAAAGAGTAAGAAAATGTTCTCTTTTCAAAACTTTCTCATTTTGTCCTGTTTTTATTTTTCAAAATTGGTATGAGGCTGCCTTCTAACTATGAAGTACATCTTTTTTTTCTATAAGTAGCTAAA